CCATGGTGTCTATCGAAATGAACAAGCCTTGCTACATTTTAATTTTGTTGTTGTTGACCTGTCAATCACGCCTTTGATAATTACCGGGTTGTTGCCAACATTTTGAACAGATGAAGAAAATTTCAAAACAAACTGCCTGACCAATTGTAACGACTTATCAACATCTGACTGCAGTTCTTCGTGTAATTAAGGGGTGAAAGGGGTGTAAGGGTCTTGGGTAGGATATCTTTGGCATATGTTATTTAGAGCAACCATGAACCTAAGCCTTAATAGACAGTGATATAATCACACTCTATAATACATCAATTGTTGAAAACAATCAATAATTAGTTCATGATTGTAATCAACAGCAATGACATAAATGTGTACATACTGTATACATCAAGACATAATTCCCATACCTGATCCTGACATAACAGCTCCACTTTATCTTCTGCCATTGATGCTGTATCTTCATCTTTTTCTGGTTCTCCTCGTTCTGTGGATGATGCTGTTGTCTGGGAAACATTATCGGCACCCATTACTTTTTCATAGACATGTTCCAGGACTTTTCTGACTTGTAACATATCACTAGCAGAGAGCCTGTCCCTATTAAGCAATGAATGACAATTGGGTCAACAACACATAGGTGACTCATCATTGTAGAGGTGTGATCTACACATGCAAGCATTATGTCATATTTACCCACAAATAAAACAGCTTTATCAATGGTAGTGCAGAAATGATCTATTGTGCTAAACAGTAGTGTGTTTTATTGGAGACAGCCAATTAGTGATGAAAGAATTCTGTGCTCACTATATAGTTGCAATTCTTCAGTGGCTGGATTTATGGGCTACCGATCAGCAAAAAAATGGCGAAATAAGCTCCCCAAACTCAACATCTGAAGATTTCGGATTTGTTTCGATCAAAAAGGTACCCCTTTAACAGTCATGTGCCAGTTGAAAGGTTTTTGCTCTCAATTTTGCGTACCGGAGGTACCGGTAATCACAATTTGGTTTTAGAAATTTCCCCATTTCTATTCCTAAACACCAAGCACTGTGTTTACAATTAAGTGAGAGCCAATAATAGTAAAATATAGTGACAACAGAGGTTCTATTATTCAACATCCTCATGAAAATATATTTGGCTTTAACTTACTTTTTCAGTGACTTAATTCCAGATGAGGAATGTGGTTGTAAGTAAAATGAAATTTTATTGAACTTCGGTGTATTTCTCTGAAATCACAAAGAACAAACAGAAAAACATGAGTGAACACGTCCATAGCTTATTACAAGTTTAGAGGACAAGATAAAAAAATCAACCATGGTAATATACAATAAAGATCCCATTACAATCACATATA